AAAGGGCGAAGAAGGAAGCCTAGGGTTTTGGTCGACTGCACAGGGAAGAAAAGGAAAAGGGAAAGTGAGTCTGTGAGAGAGAGAGAAACGGCGAGAGAGAAATGAAGACAATAGGAGATGAGTACGGGAGTTTGCGTGTAAGAAGGGAGAAAGTGGAAATGGCTCTGCCAAATTGGCTCACTCGAATCGGCTCGGCTGGTGATGGCCATTAGGCTTATGAATAGTGTAAGGAAAACTTGCTCTTTTTATAGTGTAGGAAGGATAGGTACTGGGCTAATACAGTTCTAGGAAATTATCGTTGTTTAGACCCTAAATGCAGAATTAAACCAACTATTGTGTGTTTGAATCATATTATTTTGAAAAAATGTATTTTGGAATAATAGATTGATGAGAAATGTGTGGTTGAAAAAAAAAAGTTATTGATGTGATGGAAAATATTATTTTATTGAAAAATGTGTGGTTGAAAATGAGTAGAATAATGAGAATGAAAAAAATAATGTGGCTCAAACAGGAGCTAAAAGTAACAACTCACTTATTAATTGTTTTTACATGATTAATGTACTTAATTAAATTAATTCATATTCGTAAACAATAAAAAACACTTAGATCAAAGCAGCAAATAAACAAATAATATCAAATATGATCACGGAGGAAAATTCGAACTCAAGATCAAAAACCTCCAAGTAAACTTACCGGTAAACGATCCACTAAAATAGTTAACTTACAATTAGTCCAAACACTACTAACTGACTTTGACCAGCTAATTTGTAAATCACCAAGTAACTCATTTGGTTGTGCAATCCCACACTTCACCGAAGTCATAATAACTACTTTTCTCCTTGCTTGGATCAACAAAAATGAATCTCATCCTTGAGTGTCAAAACTCAAAGTGTCTCTTCCCAAAACTCGAGAATTCTAAAGGCTAATTGGTGAAGGTAGAGTTTTGTTTTGGTGTTTAATCAAATGATCTTTTATGTTTTGATCTGTTGATGCCAGAGATATTGGAATATGTATATTTGGGATTCAAAGAACAAACTCTTGGTTTATAAGAATATATGAACATCATCTTGAATCAATGAATCAAAGGAATGAGTTTTGGTTTTTCAATAATACGATCTCTAAGGTAATACAATAATTCAACACACTTTTGGAATGAACCTATGATTTTGTATTTATAATGGATAGAGATTAAAAATAAACATTAAAATTGATCAAGATTCTTTTCGGACATTACCGACGCTCGAGCGTTGCCCGGCGCCAAGCTAGCAATGGTTCGCCACTTGAGCGACAGTGACCCAGTTTTGAACGCTCGAGCTCCAACAAGACGCCCAGCGAGCAACTCTCAGTCCATTTCTTGTTCTACTTATTGAAGTCTGAATTTTGATTTTCTTTGACTAAGACTATAATTTCTATTTTAATTTTAATTACAATTCGATAAATTTCTAATACAATTTAACTAGAAGAAGATTTTGACTAAACAAATTGTGAATTTGTTAATTACATAATCTGGACATAGCACCAAATAATATAAAATTTTATTGTTTTGACTTTGAATTCAAGCAAGGAAATTATAATGAACTCCAAACAATCATTGCCAAACATTATGTATGACCCGGCCGTCTGACCCGACTCCCCAATTACAATTTACAAGACCGTACTTTGGAGCATATGTAAATCCGGGTTCAAGTTCAAGACAAAAGGGTCGGATTCCGATATTCACTTTCCATTTATCTTCTTCTCCGTCCCCCAACCTCATACTTCGTTCTCACTCCCTTAAACCCTACATTTGATCTTAAACTTTAACTCAACAACATTATCCCCTCTCTCTAGCAGCCTTGCTCCTCACACCCTCACAAATTCACACAGTAGAGAGAGAGAGAGAGAGAGAGAGAGAGAGAGAGAGAGAGAGAGAGAGTGGGTGTCAAAATGAACCCATCAATTCTCCTCACCAACCACCACACCACCCTCTTCACCCCTACCCTAAGGCCAGCCGGAATCCCTCCTCGCCTTTCCTCGACTCGTTTCCGCCGCCACCGCTATAAAATCTCCACTGTGCGGGCTTCCTTATTGGAGCAAAATTCTAGTTCTATTTCTGCTTCTCCATCCAGTATTGCCGTCAAAGCCGATGTTTTTGGGGAGAAGAGAGACCTCACGAGTGTCCAGTCTTTGGTCGATGCCATGTCACCGCCTATTCGGATAGCTGGTTCGGCTTTAATCTTTGCAGCTGCTGTTGCAGCTGGATATGGACTTGGGTCTCGGTTTGGTGGGTCTCGTAATGCTGGCTTGGGTGGTGCCGTGGCTCTTGGTGCTGCTGGAGCTGGTGCTGCTTATGCTTTGAACTCTTGTGTCCCTGAGGTTGCGGCAGCTAATTTGCATAACTATGTGGTTGGTTGTGACGATCCCGGAGCAGTTAAGAAGGAAGATATTGAAGCCATTGCAAACAAGTAAGTCTAACAAGAACTTCCAATTGGCATTGCCCCAAATATTTAAATAGTTCTGTGATGGTCGGTAGTATAATTTTGTGGCTAGATTGCAAAGAATTGAAGAAGTCAGAAGTGGGATTATAAATTATGGATACAAGTTAGATTGGATTTTTCATGAAAATAACTATTAAGGGTCTAGTTTCAAGATAAATTGTTAGTTGATATATATCTGATATAAGTATTTATTTGGACGCTGTATGTACATTTAGTTGTTATAGGTATTCTGTAGTTTCTCGAACCACAAGGCTGTGATTGATTACGCACGCAATTTAATTAATCATAATCAATGATTTAAGGTTCTTTACCCTTCAATTGATGTCTGAAGCATAAAATGGATTTTTTTAAAGAGAAGTCATGTTTTGCAAATCGCAAAACAAACCCAATCATTATACTCAAACATTTTCACAATAATTTACACCAATTGCAGTGGTAATAATTTTTCCTCTTTCAGTTTATCATTGTGTTTTACTCATACTATAATATGTCATTTACGGATATTATGGAGCTGATCATGGTATATATTTTCTTTTTCTCAACGATCTGCTTTTGTTTAATCTTTCAGATATGGTATTACCAAACAGAACGAGGCATTCAATGCAGAGCTTTGTAATTTATATTGCCGGTATGTAAAATTGAGCTTTGTGATATATATTGCCGGTACGTAAAATTGTTTGACAATAATATTTATTAACACCAGTCTGTTGGTCCCTGTAAAGTGGTATGCCACACTTATTCTTGCTGAATGGAAATTTTGGAAGGAAAGTTGGAGAATAAGAATAGCATTTATTTAAAAATGAGAAAATAACGGGGTAAGGATATTGTATTCAGTTCATGGTGGTGCATTGTGGGGTATTAGGGAAAACAGTAGTTGAATAAAGCCTAAGAATTTACCTTTTATTTCTAGATGTTGTTTGTTGTCTTGATAATCGATTTTAACAATGGCAACACATAAAAATGAAGAGTATTTTTTAAACATACTTTACAACAAGCTTATGTAACCTCTTACGAACTTTTTTGTTTTTCTTAGATTTGTATCTGCCGTGCTTCCTCCTGGAAGTGAAGATCTTAAAGGCAGTGAAGTTGAGACCATCATCCAATTTAAAAACTCGTTGGGCATTGATGATCCAGATGCTGCAGCCATGCACATGGAGGTGAATTATACATGTTTTATTTGATTTTTACGATGAAGTAATAAGTTTGCTGTAGTAAATGAAGTTACTGTAATTCAAGTGTTCAATTTTCTATTTCTCAGATTGGTAGGCGAATTTCCAGGCAAAGGCTTGAAACTGGGGATCGGGACGCTGATATCGAACAACGTCGGGTAGAATGTTATTTATCAATATAAGCCATGATATAATAGTTCTAGTGCCGCATTACAGCTGCAAAGATTTAGAGCTTGACCATTTTGATGTTTCCAGTACAGGCATTTCAGAAGCTAATATATGTCTCAAATCTTGTATTTGGAGAAGCATCCGGTTTCCTGTTACCTTGGAAACGTGTGTTCAAGGTTACTGATGCCCAGGTAACTACTGTATGCCGTATGCATTAATCTGAACAAGTTTACTTAGGGCGTGTTCTGTAGAGGATAAAATTGGATTAAAATTGAAAAACTAGCTGTTATTGTTGACTTTTATTAGACGAGTGAGACCCAATAAGGGCTATATTTTCAATTTTAATTAGATTTTAATATTTGCCAAACAGGCTGTTAAAAGTTTTACGGAAAGTATAATCACTATTTATTAATTTTTGGGATAATACTCAAATTTAGCGTTGGTAACCTTCATCTCATTCTAGAGTTCCTTTCTTTTATTGCTTTTTGTCCATCAGGTTGAGGTTGCTGTTCGGGACAATGCGCAAAGACTGTATGCATTCAAGCTTGAATCAGTTGGCCCAGGTATATGCATGATACTTTTGTCTTCTTAAATGCAGCAAGCGCCTGCATGTCATAATCTAATAATATTCTGGCTATTTATTGAACTCTTAATTTTTTGCTGCTTTTTTTATTTTTCTGTGAATAAAACTCCCAATAAATTACCATTCTGTGTCTTTTTCTTGAAAATCTTAGTATTTACTATTTCTCGACTTTCACCATTCTAATCAAATAAGTTATTACCAAAATGTTGCTCACGCATTTTGCAAAGAATACCTTTTTGCTTTAGAGTAGACCTGCTTGTTTAATTTTGTTTGTTATTGACTAAATTTTATTAATTGACCAAGACTGCAATGTTGACATGTGTTGAAATGTTTGCAGATGTTGATGTCAGCCAACTGGTCAGCCTTAGAGAAGCACAACTCATGTATCGACTTTCTGATGAGGTATCGACTTTCTAAAAAGTTTAACATTTTTATTTATGCGCGTCACAATGTTGTACCAAAGTAAGACTGAGAAGTGAATAATACACATCTCTCAATGTGGTGGTTTCATTTTTTTTTCAGCTTGCGGAAGACATGTTTAGGGAGCATACGAGAAAGCTCGCTGAGCAAAATATATCAACTGCTCTGAGTATATTGAAGTCCAGAACTAGAGATGGGTATGTGTACCACCAATTATTTGAACATGTAGACAGCTAACAAGTTAATAGTTCCAAGGGTGTCTTTTCAGTATCTCCCTTCTTTTAAAAAATGTTTGTTTGGTCGAAGAGAATGATTCACTAGAAGAGTATACTGAATTCAATAGGTATAAGTTGAAATAGCCATTATGATTTTTATACAATAACAACAAAAATAATGAACTTTATCTAAAATCAGCCTGTTACTAGTCCAGGTGATAAATTTTGAGGGTAGCTTGATCTGATACTGAGCATAGACTTAAATAGGGATGTGCATTGTACTGTTCTTGCAAGAGCTGGACCAAACCAGTTAAGATATATTCTTTTTATGGTAGAATGATCAGTTCTCTTTGAAAGTGCGCTTATGTTCTTTTCTGGGATGCACCTAGAATATGAGTTAAATTATGTGCGTGTGGTTGCATCAATTAGATCTATCTATATAAAATTGTTTACATATATTTAAATAGCCAAAAAATGAAAAATAAATAAGAAAGTAAATCTTGTTTTAGATTGAACCTGCCGGTTCTTTGTTCTTAAAATCGATTGTTTATGTTTTTGCCATTTGGAAATCGGATTGAACATGCCAGTTTTTAGTTTAGAAAACCAGCATTTACTTTTTGGCCTTTCGGAATGGGATCATGTCTGCTGGATTAGTTTGGTACTTTGGAGCTCACCCACCCCTCTCAAACATAAGCAAGCCATTGAAAATCTTCACAAGAATGGGTTAGTCACATAATGATAGCACGATGATACCTTGCAATTACTTTGTTGGTTGTGTACAACGAGATTTATCTGGCTTTATGTTGTGGTATTAGCACCATCTAGATGAATTGGAATATTTCGCAGGCAACGTGTCATTACAGAGATTGACAAGTTATTGGCATTCAACAATCTGCTAATCTCACTGAAGAGCCATCCCGATGCCAGTCGCTTTGCTCGTGGGGTTGGACCTATATCTTTGATAGGTGTGAATGCTATCTGATTTCTGGTTTCCTGATTTTCTTAGGCCTTGATGTTTGCTTTGTTCTTCTTGTTTTGATAATATTTGAACTTTGCTGAAAGTTCCGTAAAGGATTTATCTGTTTCAACTGTTTTTTCTTCAACAAATTGTTAGTTGGAGTTGATGAATATTGTTTGTTCAGATGGGGAGTATGATGGTGATAGAAAGATGGATGACTTAAAGCTTCTCTATAGAGCCTATGTTTCACATGCTTTAGCAGGTGGTCGCATGGAAGAAAATAAGGTGCTATCTCTATTTAAAATTTTAAAATTTCATATTAGCATTCTGTTAACTGTAAAAACTCAATATCCCTCTGAAGTGTGTTTCAATTTGTGTTGTTGCTTTGCCAAGTATGAAAATCATGCTGGGGGGATTTTCTCTGTTGTATTATATTAATAAAAGTGTTATGTAGGTCTGTGTACGCACACACGTGATAAAGGAGCTAAATTGAGGAGCTCAATATCAAATTCAATATTTAAAAATGTCACTGATTGCTTATTAGACTAAGGGTGTGTTTGAGCCACATTAATTTGGAAGAATTTATTTTGGAATAGTAGATTGATGAAGAATGTGGGTTGAAAAAGAAGGAAAAGCTATTGATGTGATGGAAAATATTATTCTACTGAAGAATGTGTGGTTGAAAATGAGTAGAATAACGAGAATAAAAATTTTAATGGGGGCTCAAACAGGGGCTAAGATTGATAAAAAATTAAGAGTGGTACTTAAAATGATCACACATGCACACGCACACGACAAAACTGCAATTAAAATAAAGTTTAAAAAAAAAAATGCAAAGCATTATTTTTCTGTTTATACACATTAGATGTTTATAATATTGTTATTGTTCTATCAGTTAATGAAATATATATGTTGCTAGGGATTTAGTTGCTCTGCATCTTCTATTAGATGTAGCAATGAATTGAATGCAGTGGTGAAGAAGGATTCATGTAGCCAATCTCAAATTTATTGATAATAAGGCTTAGTTTGTTTCTGTAATGTTTTTTCAGTTAATGAAGTATATATGTTATTAGAATATTTATACATGTAGAGTTCATGGTAAAAGTCAATATGATGGCTTGAATTTTTTGGTCAGAAGTCATTTTGGTAGACGAGTTTTCAGAATTTGGCTATGTTGGTACCTTTAGACACATTTTGTTCAATGCAGTTATGGGGGTGAGGGTGACATATTGTCAATTTTTCAAATAAAAAATGAAAAGAAAGAAACCAAAAAACTCTCCAGAGCCAGATTCGTCTCCCAACGTGATGCACCACCTCCTGCAACTCAAAACACCGTTGTCTAGCACCACTACTCAGCAGCTGCACCATTATTCTTCACCATCACATAACCTTTCCTCACTGTGTCCATACGATTAGGCCACCTCGCCCCTTTCCTTCCCTTCCCTTCCCTTCCAGTTATTGTTTTGGGTGGTGGTGCTTAGAATTTGAGAAATGCCAAGGATCATCTTGGATTGTTTATGTGAAGTATTTTTGATCCATTTTCTAAAGTGAAGAAATTTATCTCCCCTGCTCAATGGATGCAGCTGCTACAACCTGCCCATCACAAACTTTTCTGAACCTTCTCTAACAGTTGTCCAATGAAGTCCAATACTACATCTAATACAGAATCATGGTGGTCATCTTAGCCATTAGGTTAGTTAATCACAGAAGGCATGGACATTCCATCACCTAACAATTCCTCACCAGGGTTGAATTGTGATGGGCAACACATAACATAGGGTGGTGTTGATATTGAGTAGCTATAGATTTGTTCATTGCAGCAGGAGCGTTGTCAGTTCCTATAATATGTGATGCCTCTGTTCCATGGGCTTCAGGTTATTACCATTCCATTTTTCTTTGTTCTTATTGTGGTTTACCTGAGTTGTTGGCAGCTGATGAGCTGCCAAGCACCTGAATTTTCTATAATCAAGTTGAAACGGAAAATGGACATCTTGTTATATAAATATCCTTACTTAGATGTTCATGTCAGCCGGTCCCAATAATTTATGATTTTTACATACTTTAACCAATGATGAATATTTTAAATTTCATCGTCATGTTAGTCCAAGTATGTGTTTTACTGCATGACATGTTACTTATCAGCTGTATACTAGTAAAGGATAGTTATAATACAGTGAATTAATTATATAACCAAGATTACTACCCGGTCGATGTATGTAGAGGTTAGATCGTCATGAACACTTGTAATTTCTATTTTGATTTTCCTTAAGCTGTATTCATCTTCTTTAGAATGAAAAGAATAGCTATAGTTATGCTGTTATGCCTTTACCTATACTTCTGTTTCAGGGAAAATACATGTAAATATCTCCTGTTTCAAGTTTCAACTAATAATTTTATATAAACAAGATCTATGAATAACAATATAACTTCATTGTAGGCTCTTTGCAAAGTTTCATAGTACACATTGACAATAAACTATGTATATGTTACTAATAAATAGGGTGTTAGAGATACCAACTTCCGTGAATGTTATATCGAACACTGGTTCCATGAGTTGATTTTGGAAGGAATTATTATCTTCTTCTGGTATAAACATTGACATGGATATGTTCTTCTTTTCTAGACAGTATATCTCTACCTTTTTCCTTTATTTACTTTTCTATTAACTTCATGTTCTTTGCTGCAGCTTGCTGCATTAAACCAATTGAGGAATATATTTGGTTTAGGTAGACGTGAAGCGGAGTCAATTGCACTGGATGTTACCTCTCAAGTATATCGTAAACGTCTTCAGCAGGCTGTATCCAGTGGTGATTTAATAGCTGCTGATAGTAAAGCAGCATATCTTCAAACTCTATGTGAGGAGTTGCACTTTGATCCAGAGAAGGCGATTGAGATTCATGAAGGTACTATAGGTTTAATTTAGAAGTCTATAGTAAGAGAATCTCTTAAGAGACAAGCTGTGATTGTATTTCTTTGAGGTTTTTACTCGCTGTTTATGTGTTTTCAGTGTACTGGTGCAGTTGTGCAAAAATAATAATTTATAACATGCAAAAAGCACTTTTGGCCGTAAAAAATTGATATGTTCATGCTCCTTGAAGGAAAGAACCTTTCTTCCCGGTGTATCGGTGCAAATAAGGGACATACATTTGTGTGTCTATACTGCAGTCACCTTCTAATTTTCGTTTAGTTTTTTACTACATATGATCGCTAAAATGTCATGATATATTTAGTTTGTCTTCTTTGATTATTTATTTGCCATCTGTAAAAAGATTTTTTTTCTTTTCAATGTTTAGAAATTTACCGGAGAAAGCTTCGGCAACTGGTAGCTGATAAAGGAGAACTCAGCGATGAGGACGTGAAAACATTGGAACAGATACAGATCATGTTTTGCATTACAAAGCAAACTGTTGAAGCAGCTCACGCAGATATCTGTGGCAGTTTATTTGAAAAGGTTTGTTCTTTTATTTTCAATGGCAGAGGCCGTTATCAAGTTTTAGTCCTGTTTGTAAGGAGTATGATGATTTGCATTATGATTGAACCTCCTGGATCAAACCCTGTATCCAAAAAATAAATCACTTCTCTGCCTCTCCCCACAATTAAAAGGATAAAAACAAAAAAGAAAAATGGAGACATGAATTTCCTAGATAATTGTGATTACTATTTCTGCTCCTTTCTTGTTTAGTTTTTGTTTTCGTTTATAAAAGACTCGGGAGCTTCTTGGCTGTGACAAATCTATTGCCAGTTTGAATTTTTAGTGATTTTATTAGTGGAATGCTACAGAAAATCTTATGTCACCGTGCTCTTTGTAATTAATGTGAAAAAATTATTACTTCAAGCTGTTAATGAATTTGTTCTATTGAGAGCCCTTCTTTTGCTCCTTGGATTACAGATAGAGGGTGTTGCACGTAGCTTTATGGAGACTCAATTACACTTTGTTATGCACATTTTATTTGAATGTAAATTTATGAAATATGATTAGTTTCTTGCTGATCATTATGCCCTCATGATCATCAGTTTCTGATCCAAAATCACTTTGACAGGTGGTTAAGGAAGCAATCGCTGCAGGAGTGGATGGTTATGATGCGGAAATTAAGAAGTCCGTCAGAAAGGCTGCCTTTGGTTTACGTTTAACCAGAGAGGTTGCAGTTTCTATTGCTAGTAAGGCAGTAAGTATTTGATGAACAATGATATCCTTACCTATTTGTTGGACTACGTTCTTAAAGTGTTTCTGATAGCTTTAAATGACTTTTATGTATACAGGTCCGTAAGATTTTCATCAGCTACATTCAAAGAGCAAGGGCAGCGGGTAATCGTACAGAGTCTGCTAGAGAACTCAAAAAGATGATAGCTTTTAATAGCTTGGTTGTGACTGAACTAGTCGCAGACATCAAAGGCGAATCAACTGATACTCCATCTAAAGAACCTATTGAAGAAGAAAAACCAACAGAGGTAGATGAGGAATGGGAGTCCTTGCAGTCACTTCGGAAAGCAAGACCAAGCAAGGGAAGTATAGGAAAACCAAGCCAGACGGAGATAAATCTTAAAGACGACCTCCCAGAGAGGGATCGGACTGATCTTTACAAGACATATTTGCTATTTTGTTTAACTGGTGAGGTGACTAGAATTCCATTTGGGGCTCAAATCACTACAAAGAAGGACGATTCTGAATATGTTTTGCTAAACCAACTTGGTGGCATACTTGGACTGAGCGACAAGGAGATTGTTGATGTACACAGGAGCTTAGCTGAACAGGCTTTCAGGCAAGAAGCTGAGGTTATTTTAGCAGATGGACAGTTGACTAAAGCAAGAATTGAGCAACTCAGCGAGTTGCAGAAGAACGTTGGCTTACCGCCTCAGTATTCTCAAAAAATAATAAAGAGCATTACTACTACAAAATTGGCAGCAGCCCTTGAAACTGCTGTTGGCCGGGGGAGGCTTAGCATAAAGGAAATTCGAGAACTGAAAGAAAACGGGGTTGATGTAGACACCATGATCTCTGAAAGTTTACGAGAGAACCTGTTCAAAAAAACTGTTGATGATATCTTCTCATCTGGTACAGGAGAGTTTGACGAAGAGGAAGTATATGAGAAAATCCCAAAAGATCTAAATATTAATGCTGCGAAGGCCAAAGAAGTTGTTCAGGAGCTTGCACGAAGTAGATTATCTAACTCCCTTGTACAGGCAGTGGCACTTCTAAGGCAGAGAAACCATCCAGGAGTGGTATGCAATCTGGTTTTCGTGCTTTTGTTCTAGAAGATTAATTTAGTGATTGTGTGGCTTAATTGTTTCTCTATGCTCTTGTAGGTTAATTCTCTCAATGACTTGTTAGCCTGCGACAAGGCTGTTCCTTCGACTCCATTGTCATGGGAGGTGCTAGAGGAACTGGCCGATCTCTTCCTTGTATACCTTAAAAGCGATCCATCAACCGAAAACTTGGCCAGAGTGCAATATCTACTGAATATCAGTGACGCAACAGCAGAAGCTTTGCGAGCCATGAAGAGTAGAGGACTTCCACATGGAGCAACGGAGGAAGAGTTTGTATTTTGAATCTTGTCTAGTAAAAGAAGTTTCGGGAATAGTAGCTTGATATGGTCGTTTTTTCTGTTCTGAAAATGAGAATATATCACAATTTTGTTTCTTGTTTCTCTGGGACAGGATACGAATTATAAAGATTGTGTTACAATCTCTATTATTTGTTTGGATGTGTTAAATTTTAAAATGCTTAGGCCTGTTTGAACCATGGAAATGGCTAGATCATCAATTCATCATCGACTTTATTTATGTTTTTCAAACTTTTTTAAGCTAAATCAAACACGGGCTTAATAAATGATAGCAATCATGAAATATTTACAATTTTTAGTGAAATAAATGACTAGCTTCTTTATTGATGCTGTTAATTTAGGTGAAGGGAATTGGATGAAGTTGTAGACATTTGAAACACCACTGCTCATGCCCTTCCTCCGCCCAAAAGCGTTGGCTTCACTGGTGGAATCTGCCGTCTCAACTCAGTCTATACTTCTAGGCCGCGCCGTCCATGCCCATGTCATTAAGACTCTTGGTCTAGACATGGACGCCTTCCTCTCCAACTACCTTATCAAGTACTCCAAGCTCGACCTCCCCCTCTTGGCCCAGCTTGTCCTCTCCTATACGCAGATACGTTGGTCCAGATTCGCTCTGTCTTCACCTGGACCTCCATCATATGCGGTCATGTTCAGAACGGTCATTTTACTGCTGCACTGTCCCACTTCTTGATCACGCTCTCGGACTTCGGAGTCTATTCATCCCAATGACTTTACCTTGTTTCACGGGTTACCTTTCTTCTTAGCACAGAAAGGGACACCGTGCAGCAGTAGTCTACTCCGCTAGACTACCTTCCGTCTTTTCTTGGTCGTTTCGGGACGAAAGTAAATTTGATCACAATTTAAAGAAAGATTACAACATGAAATTGAAATGCATTGAAATAAACTTGATCATTGATTGCTTGAAAACTGAACATTACAACAGATGAAAGCAGGAAATTACAATGATTAGTGTAGGGGGCGAACACTAGAAAGTTTGAAAGATATTTGAAAGACTAATACCCCCTATAATAGACTTAGCAACAAAAACCCATATGATGGGAGTAGACGTTAAAAAGCCGAGGAATCATACTAAACTTTTCTAATTATCAACTATTTTACATTTAAATGAAATATTTACAATGTGCGGCCGAAGTTGGGAAAACTGCGGTTGCGATAGGGTCACGGGGCTTAACTAAAGCTATAGTCCGTGACACCAGAGCTGGGAACCAAACTGGGGGTGTCCTTGGTTGAGATTTGTAGCAATTCTTAATTGATAGTTGGAGAAGTGACGAGAGAATTTGAAGCGAAGGACGGAAGGATGGTGATGTACCTGATGAAGGTAAAATACTTACGAAGAGGGTTCACAAATTTCAAGATAACCAAGGGTCCCCGAAAAGATAAAGAGTGGGCAGACACATTGGCCAGACTTGTATTTGCTAACCCAAAGAATTTTTCTCGCACAGCAAACGTGTAAGTCTTGGAGACAGCCGATCATTCAACACATGATCGATGTTGGGTACATAGAGTATGAAAAAGGTTGGATGGACCCGTTGATTGAATATCTCATAGGAGATAAGGTACCAAAAGTCAATCTCGAAGTAAAACGGCTCAGGGATCGAGTACCTTTGTTCATTATTATTGATGGATAACTTTATAAGCGGGGTTTCACCATGCCGTACTTAAAGTGTTTACGACCAACAGAGGCACGAAAAGTGCTATTTGAGGTACATGCTAGAATTTATGATAACCATCAGGAGTTGACTACCTTCACATTCAAAATATTACGACAAGGACACTACTGGCCCACCATGAAGAAGGACGTTAGAGAATTTGTTAGAAAATGTGATGCATGCTAGTATGGGAACCTGATCTATGTCCCAGTCAAGCAGCAGATGGCTATCTTTGGTGTATGTTCTTTCTTACAATGGGGAATGAATATCGTGAGACCTTTGTTTGTGACCAAAGGATAAAGAAAGTTTTTACTAGTTTCCATCGAATACTTTACTAAATGGGTGGAGGCGAAACCACTTGCTGCCATTACCACAGCTTCAAAGCTTTTTGTGCGAGCTATCACATCGATCATAGGCTAACTTTAGTTGCCCACCCTCAATCCAATGGGCAAGTAAAAGTGGCCAACCGGACCATATTATGGGATCTGAAGACAAGATTGGAGAGAGAAAAGGGGCACAACCCCATGGGAAAAAACTGACGAAACACCTTTAAAACTATCTTTCGGGATGGAAGCTATTGTTCCTATTGAAATCCTTAGTGAGATGGTAGAATGAAAGTCAAGCATCTTGACGTTATGATAACCAATACAAAACTTGATTTGCTTGAGAGAGTGAGAGAAAGGGCAGCTATAAAGATGGTAGCATACAAGCAAATGGATGCAGAGTACTTCTACCAATAGGTGTTGCCAAGGATTTTCTAGCTAGAAGATCTTGTACATAGGGATGCAAGTAGCATGACACCCACCATCGAAGCTCGGGCCAAATTGGAAAGGATCGTATGAAGTGATTCGCAGCCTTGGAAAATAAGCCTACAGTCTGAAGGATATGAAGGGAAAGCCACTAGGTAGGTCATGGAATGCTGAGCATCTCAAGAAATACTATCAATGAGCCGCATCATAGAAAGATAAGTCATGACTTCTATATATACAGTAGATAGGTTGCTCTGTTAATTTCCCTAATGTAATGCCTGCT